AAAGGCAGTAGTAGAAACTCCAACTCTTAAGGGGAGGCTGTCAGACTAAGCAGTGGGGTGAATTTTATAGTGCTTAGTGTTGGCAGTTTAGTAATACTTTACAGAATATCCATTTACCCAATTTGGTCATTTTGGTGGGTGCTTTAATAGCTGAATGGCATAGAAGATAAAGATAACCTAAGAGAGCTGCTTCTGTAACCAAACTTGTCTTTGCCATTTCTTCATACTGTGATCTTGGGCAAGTTCCTTAACTTCTCTAAGGCCTCAGTTAACTTAAAAATGTGAGAAATAATAGTATATGCCCAGCCTTTAATAAGCTGTCCATGTTATTATAATCGTCTTATGAAGAAAGCTTCCTTTCACATTTTTTGACAATAACAACTCCTACTACCACTACCACCACCACCATTATCACCATCAGTACCATCACCACCACCACACCCTCACCAGCACCAACACCACCATCACCACCACCACTTATAATAATAATGATGTTAACAGCAGCTACTATTATATCAGCTGCTTGCTAGATGTCTACCATTGTGATGTGTGCTTCACATTAGCTTTTTAAAAATAAGAATATATATTCTGAAATCTCATCTGATGCTTTAATAGTAAAAAATCTTTGAGAATAAATTAAAGGATAATTTTATCACTGAGGGTATTTTTTCCTCCTGTGCACTTAATAAAGATTGTATAAGTACGATGTTAATAATAGAGTCATTATTAACCATTAAACCTTTAACAAAAAGGAATTTAAAAACATTACAGATCAAAGAGTACTCTCTTTCAAGGTGTGTTGCTTCTCCATTCCATTTTCCAGAGGAAAGCAGAATTGAGGAGAGGCTATTGAAGCGTTTGCCGACAGCTATTTCCCAAGCTTCTCTTTTCTTTTCTTTTCCAGTACCCCTTCCTAAAGCCACCAGAAATAGATGCTGCCTGTTTTACTTCCATCCCCCTTCCTCAATCTTTCTTTCTGTGGAAAAAGGGGAAAAGGTGGAACAGAAAGGCACTGAACCACAATCTCATGGTTTGTAGTTTGATCCAATCTGCATTCTGAGTGATTAATTAGCAATGCAGAGAGAGCACATATTGTTTACTGTCCCTTTCTTAGACACTTTCTCAATATCACAAAAGTTGTCTATTAGTATCTCAAAGGTCTGTAGTGTTATTATAACAAAGCATTTCACATAGTTTGTCCTTTTGTAATTTTACAATTAGAGAAATATGGAAAAGCAATGTAATGCAGTCTCATAAACTTGGTATCAGCCAGATCCATAAAATATGTATGTTTTCTAATGGAAATTACAAGTCTGCTTTCCTGTTGCATTTGATTTAATGACCACTTCTGGAAAGTATTTCTCCATCTTCTACCTGAAGTCAGATTTATTCACACTGACTTTCAATAAGGTATTATGCCATTTCAGACATTGGGAGCTCTTTGAGATTCAGAGGAAAGACAGGCTGAAAGTCTAGGTGGATAACACCAACAATTTCAGTGACCATAAGTATTATGGTATATGAATATATTACAGTCATGTAGCACATAATGTTTCTATCAACAGCTGACTGCATATACAATGGTGGTCCCAAAAGATTATAATGGCTTTACCATAGAGCCTAGGTGTGTAATAGGCTGTGCTGTCTGGGTTTATGTAAATACACTCTATGATGTTCATATAACAACAAAATCACTTGACACACTTCTCAGTGTCCCCATCATTAAGTGACATGACTGCACAACAAAAAGGCTTCCTTTGAACTCCATCCTTCTGTGGGTAGCAATGGGCTGTCAAGGGCAGAACTCCATAATCAGCATTCAAGGAGTCTGGTCAGTTCTGTAATTCTTTACATTACATTGTCGTTATCATTTTTTCAATGCCTAGTTATGTTTATATTTGCAATAAAGTGAGCTACTTCTTTTTACTCTACCAAGTTTGAGAGAGCAATGCTCTTGTAGAATTATACATACCTTCTAGGATGGGGAAACTCTATTGCCCATTTTTATGCTGATTTAATATTTTTATTCAGCACAGTATTTATTTGCCCTGTATATATGTATCTGTCATATTAATCCTTAAACTATAAGGGGAAGGGATCAAGAGTACGCAGTCCTCCATGAATAATCATGCACATCGTTATTAAACTAAAAAGATCTCTCAGAGGTTGTAGGTTTTCAAGATTTTCAATGATAAAAGGAAGATAACTTGTTGGGGGTGGTAATAGATCAAGAAGAGGCAAGATTTCCAGGCATTTGGTGCCCTAGAGAAAGGCTAAAGGTCCACCTTTGAAGTTATTCTGTTGCCCATCGATAAGAAATACTGTGGTTAACTCTGTGCTAGTTCCCAGTAGTTTTTCCCCTTCAGCAAAGAAGAAAGGTGAAATGGCTGTTAGACTTTGACTTAGATGCATTAAACTAGTGGCACAGTATGTTTCTCTTCCACCCCCACTCAGTTTTGATCATGTGTGGCTGTTGAATATTAAATTGCTTTTGATCTTTAGAAAATTTAAATGTTTACAGTTGTACTGGTGGGGAATCATAGAAGCTTGGCCAAAAACTTGGTATTTCAGAAAGTTTTCATTTGAAAGATTGTTGATTTTCTTCCATTTACAACTTTTCATTGGGTAGCATTTATACAGGACTTTTAATTGGATATCATATATTTTGGGTATAGTTTTTGTGAGAAAAAAGACCTAGTGATTTAAATCCATGGTATTTAGTTTTTTATTGCATATTATGAGAAAGATTGCCAAAATAGGATCCTGGCTTTTCCTCTAAATTATAAATATGCTCTGATAAGCTTCAATAAACCCAGCCACTCTGATGGTAATCACTGTAAATTACTCACTGCTACCAGGAATCATGTAAGAGGCCTTCTTTGCTACATAAAGGCAGCTCGGTAGCACCAAAATCTTCCATGAAGGGAGCTCTTGCACATAAGTCTGGGAAACTTGAGAGTTCGTTGCGGATGTGCTGTACATCGCCCCTTCTCTGCTCGTGAGTCAGCACACTGGATCATGGCTCCCTTTCCTGAGGAGCCCAGGTACATACTCAGGGTCCTTCTCAACCAGTCCTCCAGGGACTCCTTGCAGAGGTGGCATTCCAAATGAAATTTAGTATCTATCCCTGTCCTTGATGGGAGAAGTGAGGCTAAGATATTCCCCACATTACCTGTCTTGAAATGAGAATTACCCAAGTTGAGCCTATACAGTAGGAAGGCAGGATTTGTTATTGCATGGCTAGATTTGAGTCCCAGCTCCATCCCTTATTAGCTGAGTGATAGTGGGCAAGTCATTTAGATTCTCTAAGTTTCAGGTTTTTGTTTTTGTTTTTTAATTTGTGAAGTAGAAAGAGATCATGCCTACTTCAGAATACTGAGGATTAAATAAGATGATTTTTATAAAGTGCTTATTAATATCCTGTCTAGCCCAACAGTTCTCAAACTTTTAGTTCAGTACCCCTTTCTATTCTTAAAAGTTATTGAGGGCCTCATAGAGTTTTTGTTTATGTAGATTATATTTATTAGAAATTAAAACAAATTTAAAAATATTTATTAATTTTTAAAATTAATAATAAATCCACTATATATTAACATAAATAACATATTTTATGAAAAATAACTATTTTTCAAAGAAAAGTTAGAACAATAGCCTATCTGCTTCTGCATTCAGTCTGTTGCAATATCACACATCATGCAGATTCTGGAAAATTCCTCGGTGAACTTATAAGAGAATGAGAGTGAAAAAGGCAAACAATATCCTAGTAATAGTTTGAAAATAGTTTTGACCTCATGGACTCCTGAAAGTGTCTTGGGGCCCCAGGACCATACTTTGGGAATCACTGGTTTAGTCAATAGTTAGCACCCAATAAATTATTGTTATTATTGTAATACATGGAAATTTTTGTAACTACTAAGTACTATAAAAATATTAGTGACAAGAAATAAAGGTCATGGCTTTAAAACTTCTTACTCTATACTTTTCTCAAGAGTCCTAAATAAGATTTTACTTCAGATGAAGCAAAAGAAACAACAGTGTTTTTCAAACACATACTAGTACAGTTATTCCTTGGTATCTGCAGGAGATTGGTTTCAGTACCTGCAGATACTAAAATCTGAGGACGCTCAAGTCCTTTATATAAAATGGTGTAATCTTTGCATATAGCCTACTCACATCTTCCCGTATACTTTAAATCATCTCTAGATTACTTATAATACCTAATACTATGTAAATGCTATATGAATAGTTGTTATATTTTTTATTTGTATTATTTTTATTGTTTTTGTTATTTTTTACATTGTGTTGTTATTTTTTATTGTTTTTTTTTCCCTAATATGTTTGATCCATGGTTGGTTGAATCCATGGATGCGGAACCTGCGGATATGAAGGGTTCACTGTAATATGACTTTGAAAAGTTCATAGAAAGATTTGTATTATCCTTTATTCAATTTTTCTATGAACTTTTTAAAGTACCTGTGTACATAAATGAGTTTTTTGAGTTTAAAAGACTCAAATCTTGTTTTCAGGAGTTTGTTAATTAAATATATTGTCATAAAGATTTCATTTTTCTCACAGTCTTTTTTTCCTCCCTAGAGTGATAGATTTGTGTAAGGAGAGAAGTTAACTAGATCATTACTCTGAAACCCCTGACAGAGTTGGGGTAGGGTTATGGTAGCTCACCAGTTTTAAGGAGGAGTTGTGGCCGCATTGTTAATCAGGTTGGGCTTCATAATTGGCAGGTCAATTTTGATTTACTGGTTGGAGAGCCTTGACTTAAGGGGCTTTTTGAAATGGGTTTGGAATGTAAAGACAAAGAGCACAAGTGATATGATAACATAACTCAAATTGTCTTAACAAGAAATATGGGTAGTTCACATAGTTCACATCTTAAGATACAGAGCTATAGTTTATAGTAGCTGTACATGTGCTTTGCAGACATATAACCTCTAATTATAATTTTCTCCTTTCTTCCTCTTTTTCTTTGGGGTGGGTGGGTATAGACCATGGGGAATTCATATGCTGGGCAACTGAAATCTGCTCGATTTGAGGAAGCTCTCCACAACTCCATAGAGGCCTCTCTCAGATGTAGTAGTGTGGTACCACGGCCAATTTTTTCCCAGCTGTACTTGGACCCTGACCAGCATCCTTTCTCATCTGCAGGTAAGTTTGTCAATCACACACATTTCTAGACTCCTTTTAAGAGAAGAAGTGGGGATTCCAAATCTTGGGACCTCGGAAATAAATTGGCTAAATGTTAGCAAATGCTAGTCTCCCTTTCCCCAACTGTCTTTTATTTTTTATTTTATTTATTTATTTTTATTTTTTATTAAATTATTTTATTTATTGAATCAAAATTGATTATACATATTTTTGGGGTTGAACATTGAGATACGTTGATTAAATCAATATTACTAGCATACATATTGTTACAAATCGTAATTATTCTTTATGCCGCTTGTCCAACCTCTCCCCTTCCCCCATTCCCTCTCCCTACCCCCGCTAATTGCCCTAGATTTCTTCTCTCCTTCTGAAAGAATAATGGTTATTCTGTTAACTTGTTGCCTATATGATCTGTCTAATGCTGAGAGGTGTGATCAGGTCCCCCAATATTATCATAGAGCAGATGCTTCTTTTACTCTGAAATGGGTTTTGTGGAAAGAGACATCCTCTTCTTTTCTTTGTCTCTACTGGTGACTCTTGTGTGAATGCACTCCAGGGGTTGGCGGACCATCTGCGTGGTGGCTGTGGCGTCTAGCCGCTTTTGCAGCAGCCATGGTTACTGTGGTAGCTGTGGTGGGCCACCCACATGGATGTGATGTTTTTGGCATGCTCCTTGGCACTGGCAGTATGCCTGGTTGTGGGGTGTGTTTGGTCCCCTTCTCCATGCCTCTGGTCCCTGGGCAGGCTCCAAGGTGCTGGCGCCATGTGCCTGGTTGTGGGAGAGGGGTCCAGTCCCCTTCTCCATGTCCCAGGTCCCTGGGCGGGCCCTGAGGTATTGGTGCAGTGTGCCTGGTTGTGAGAGAGAGGTCCATTCCCCTTCTCCTTGACTCGGATCCCCAGGCAGGCCCCAAGGTGCTGGCATGGTATGCCTGGTTATGGGAGGGTGGTCCGGTCCCCTTCTCCATGCCTCAGGTCCCCAGGCAGGCCTTGAGGCACTGGTGCAGTGAGCCTGGTTGTGGGAGAGAGGTCCAGTCCCCTTCTCCATGTCCCAGGTCCCTGGGTGTGCTCCGAGGTGCTGGCATGTTGTGCCTGGTTGTGGGAGGGAGGTCTGGTCCCCTTCTCCATATCCCGGGTCCCTGGGTGGGCCCCAAGGCACTGGCATGGTGTGCCTGGTTGTGGGAGAGTGGCCCAGTCCCCTTCTCCATACCTCAGGTTCCCAGGTGGGCCCTGAAGCTCTGGCTTGGTGTGCCTGGTTGTGTGAGAGAGGTCCAGTCCCCTTCTTGCCTCGGGTCCCTGGGCAGGCTCCAAGGTGCTGGCGTGGTGCGCCTGGTTGGGGGAGGGTGGTCCAGTCCTCTTCTCCATGCCTCAGTTCCCTGGGTGGGTCCTGAAGCTCTGGTGCAGTGTGCCTGGTTGTGGAAGAGAGGACCATTCCCCTTCTCCTTGCCCCAGGTCTCTGGGTGGGCTCCAACGTGCTGGCATTTTGTGCCTGGTTGTGGGAGGGTGGTCTGGTCCCCAACTCCATACCCCAGGTCCCTGGGTGAGCCCCAAGGCGCTGGCTCAGTGTGACTGGTTGCGGGAAAGAGGTCCAGTCCCCTTCTCCTTGCCCCAGGTCTCTGGGTGGGCTCCGATGCGCTGGCATTTTGTGCCTGGTTGTGGGAGGGTGGTCTGGTCCCCAACTCCATACCCTGGGTCCCTGAGTGAGGCCAAGGCGCTGGCTCAGTGTGACTGGTTGCGGGAAAGAGGTCCAGTCCCCTTCTCCTTGCCTCGGGTCCCTGGGCAGGTCCCAAGGTTCTGGTGTGGTGTGCCTGGTTGTGAGAGGGGGGTCCAGTCCCCTCTCCATGCTTCAGGTCCCCAGGCTGGCCCCGAGGCACTGGTGCAGTTTGCCTGGATGTGGGAATGGGGTCCGGTCCCCAGACCCAAGCCTCCAGTTCCCAGGCAGGCCCCAAGGTGCTGGTGGTGTGCCTGGGCCAGAACTAATTTTTTGTCCTTTGCTTCTAACACGGGGGAATTTCCTGTGGGAACCAGTACTTGAGCTGTGTGGTTGTTTAAATTGCTACTTTGCTACGGTTTCCCTATGGGAGGCTTTTTGTGCAGCTCAGGGTTTAATGGTTGATCTTATTGGTACTTCCGGCTCTCCAGAGACCCGGTGGACCTGTGTTCTGTAGAATCTCTGGTCTGGGCCTGAGTTTTTTCATCAAACTGCACCCCATGCAATTCTGCTTTCCTGACCAGTCTCCTCTGAGTGGTCCTGTGCTGACTGGGTGGCAGGTCGTCTGTCCTTGCTGTGTCCCAGTGTTGCCCTGGTGGGCACGTCTCCCCCACCACCCATGCTCCAAACATTTCCCATGGGATGGGCCCTGCACTGGTCCCTTGTGATGACTCACCGGCCTTTGAATGTCTCCCCTTTTTCAGTTGTTCTGGCTCCTTGCTTCTGCGTGGGTTCTCGGGAACCCCATTAGTGATCTTGTTGTGCTGGGGGCCGCCAAGGCCGTCTTCTCTCCTGCTGCCTCCTAGTGACTCCATCTGAAGGGCACAGCTGCAGCTTCTGCTGGCTCCTGCTCCATGCGCTCAGCAGCTCGAGCCTTAAAGCAGCCACGGCCCGAAATGCTCAGAGCAGCTTTTTCTTTCTCTCATCCTAGTTTCTCCCACCTTCATGCACTCTGTAGGTCTCTCCTCCTCTTCCCCTGAGCTCCAGCAGCCCTGACTTGGGTGGACGTTACATTTTCATAGTTGTAAATTTGGTTGATTTGTGGGAGAGAGTGATGCTGGGGACCGTCTATTCTGCCATCTTGATTGAATCTCCTCCCCAACTATGTCTTTTAGAACTATGAATTTTTCTTCTGATTATTTTTCCATAAGCATCTTTTTATTAAGTTTGCTATGATTTATTTGCTTATCTAGATGTCAAACCCAAGGTGGAGGATCTAGAGAAAGATTTGGTACACCGCTATACTCAAAATGGAAGTCTGGATTTTTCTAACAATCTAACAGTTAACGAAATGGAAGATGACGAAGATGATGAAGAAATGTCTGATTCTAACAGCCCGCCAATTCCCTATTCACAAAAACCTGCCCCAGAAGGATCTTGCACTACAGATGGTGGGTTTTAGTTTCTTGTTTTTGAGTTTTGGGGTTTCTGTTTTTTGGGGTTTTTTTTGGGGGGGGGTGCTATTTTTCCTCTAATATTGTCTGGCCCATTTCCAATCATTACATGCAGTGCTCAAGGTTGGAAACCAGTAATTATGGAAAGGTATGAGGAGTGATTATGCTTTCACATTATCTCATATGATTCACAGCAGGTGTCTATAAGAAAGACCAGTATTATCATTCCATTATAGATGAAGAGACTGAGATTCGCAGTTGAATGACTTCTCTGAGATGGTCTGTGGCAAAGGCAAGTCTAGATCCAGGTCAAGACTAATACGCTTCTGGCACTCCGTGCTCTTCCTGCAAGAATGCTATTTTTTAGTGTTTCCTCTTCCTACTTCTTTCTATTTAATGCCTCCCAAGCAATAATAGCAATAACAGAAGTTTTATATTTGCCTTTTACATTTATTTTGAACACTCGTCCAGTATACAGGATTAAAATGTAAATATTTTGATAATCCCATTTCATTTATTAGTGTCGATTTCCTCTTCTACCAAGGCTTTAACCACACTTTTAATAAGAAAACCCTAGTGTAAAGCATTTTCGGTATTTCATGGTTTTGGTGATATCATAACTTAAGTTATGCTCTCTCCCCTCCATTTAGTGGTTTGCAGTGCTATTTTCAGGCCATCTTAGCCTAATTAGTTTGTGAGTTCTACTTTATCCTAATTAGCCAGAGTACAATTTTTATACCCAGACTGACTTGAACCTGGGATGATTTTAGTGCATGAAAATCTTGGGGCATGGGAGATGGGGGAGGAGAAAAAGGGGATAAAATTTCAGGACATTCTCCTCACAAAGCCGGAAGTGCCAATAGTTTGGGATAAACTAGAGATTCAAAAATGAAAAGCCAGATAAATAGTTTGCACTGTTTTGGAGTTTTATTTTCTCTTGCCTTTTGTTTTGTTTTGTTTTGAGAATCTGATAAACAGTAAAGGGGTCAAAATCCCCTACCTGGCAATGAAGAGACCTGAATAATACTCCTAGTAGCTAATCTGTGTGCGATTCACTACAAGTGGTCTCTAGCAATTAGTACTACTGGTTTTTTGAGTTGAGCCTTATGAATTTGCTTCCACTCACAATTGGTTTTTGCCCAGACTTGACATAATATATATAGATTTATTCGTTATTGATATAATACAGGCCTTTAAACCTGTAGACGTGTGGGAGGTGACTAGCATTATGCTTCTGCTTGCTTACTTTATATACATTTTCATGCCTTTTATTTAATCGAGCAGTCAACTCATGTTTATCAAGTAACAAACTAGAAGCTGAAATAGTGCTTAAAATATTGTTGGATTCTCATTGAAAATCTTATTATACATGAGCTTTAAATAGAACCAGAGTAAAAGCTTTAGAGGATAATTTTGAGATATTGTATTTTATACTAAAAATTGGGGAAGAGATTCTCTTGTGTTCCTGTGCCCTAGGAATGTTTTTAGTTTGCCTTTTGGGGTATCTGACACTGGTATCATTTAAAACCAGATATGGAAAGCTGTTTAGTACCCACCCAGATATAAACTCAGTGATCTGAAGATAGCAAGTGTTTCCTAAACATTAAAACATGAGACGTACAGGAAAGGTAATAGTTATTTTAAAGATAAAGGAGGTGTAATTTTTCTGTAAACAAAGAACTATCCCACCCATGCACAAGATTCAAATTCCAAGACGACCTGAAAACACTAGTCCTACATTTCGATTCCTACATCAGCTACTTTAGGTTCTTATAATCAATGTCCATTATTAGTTTTACCCTTGTAATTCAACTGAAGAGGTGGGCATTTGAAACAAAAAGCAGCTTATAATTTGATAGTTTATGGTTTGTACATAGCTCTTTCCATTTGGCTCATTCTAAGATAGTTCTAAGGGTCCTCTTACTCAATGGGAGAACAGCCCTGAAATTTTCCTTATAAAATGGCCCTGAAAGAGGGCAATATCACAGCAGGGCTTGTTTCGGCATACCACCTTCCCTTCATGGGAAATCTTCTATTTACCTAAAGCTTAAAGGAAGGTAAAGCTATTTTTAGAGGCAATTTAGATAAGCAGATACTTAACACCTGATGGGCTGCCAGGGGTTACCTTTCAGATGTAAATTTTGGTTGCTAATTTCTTATGTAAATTATTGGAATAGTGTAGGTTCCTACCCTGCTGGGAGGCAGTTGATTGTCTAAAGGGGTAAAGAGCAACCAAACTTCAGGCCTCCAAATACTGCTTTGATTACTTTAGTTTGTGTTTACAGCTGTTTCAGTAAACTTTCCCCTCCCCCCTTTAAGTTTACTCTGTAAGCTTCAAGTTGGAGATAATTGGAGAATGCAAAGCTGTTTCTGTGAAGTGAAAACCCTGCCTATTTGCTTAAGGAAATGGAGATGTAGTTTACAAAGAAGGATCCTCTACTGTTATTTCTGTTTTAAAAAAATTAAAATTATTTGCTCTGCAAGAGGGCAACATTTCAGTATTATTCTTGGAAAATGAAACTATTTCAGAAGGCAAGTTTGTCAAATAAATTATTTGTATGCCCATATTGATATCTTAATTTTCCTTATGCACAGTAAACAGGCTTAGGGCCTTCTAGTAGCCTTTGAAAGAAAGATCGTATCCTTTCAGAATTATTTTAGATGTAATTCAGAATTACCCTGCAGGGTAGTACTAAGGTTTCTTTTTATTTAGTTTGAGATTTTAATTCATTTAATATTTGATTTTTATTAGATTAATAGTCAATAGAGCATCGTGTTGTAACACCAAGGTCAAGGGTTCAGATCCCCATACTGGCCAGCTGCCAAGAAAAAAAATTAATAATTGGACATGTTTCTAATAGTGAGAAAAGAGAACTACCTGCCACATTGGATATTTGGATCCTGTAGGTCTTGAAATATAATCACCTTTCATAGATTCTTTAGCTTTCCACTCTTTTTTAGACCCTTGGCAGATGAACTTATTCTCAGAATAACAACAGACTGAACTCAGGAACTTTCCCTTGATTTCACAGCCATTTTGCCCTTGAACTGACCTTGTTTCTAGACTGAGCCTTGCCTTCCCTTTCTCTCCTATTCTCTTTCTTCTTTATTAAATTGCCTGTGTGGCTTGTGTTGACAAGTAACTAGAAGGTAAAAAGATAAAATAGGACTATTTTATCTCGTAAAATAGACTATTTGTTTAAAGAACAGCTTTAAATTTATGGAAAAATTGAGAAAAGGGTAGTTTTTATATAGCCATGCACAGTTTCCCGTTATTAATATCTTAGTATAGTACATTTGTTACATGTAATGAACCAGTATTGATACACTTATTAATTTTAGTAATAAAGTCTATACTTTGTTTGGGTTCCTTAGTTTTTTTTGTTTGTTTGTTTGTTTTCCTTTAAATTTTTATTTTGTCGATATACAGTGTGGTTGATTATTATGGCCCATCACCGAA